ATGATAGCTGTTGTCATGCTTCAGGTGTGGAATGTTCCTATTTGTACCCAAGCTCTTTCGGCACATCTAAATGTAAATGTGCGAGCCAGTGGGTGACGGGATGTTGGTACTGGCAGGGACTGGGCTGCCCTTCTGTGTGGAGATCCCATGTTCTCCCTGTGTCCCCTGTGGGTTATGTTCCCAGACACCCCCACCATGCTGGCTAAATGCATTGGCGGCAGCTGTTGATGAATCAGTGTCTCTGAAAACCCTCTGGTGCGTGCAGCTGCCATGGGCTGGTTTCCCTCCAGGGCGCAGTTAAGTCTTGTGCCCTGTGCTTCTGTGACAGGTTTGTCTCAACCCCCTGCTCTCCGAGGACGGGAGCAAGGGCAATTTCTTAAGACTGTGTGGAATGCACGGTTTCATCGATTGCCGGATCAGCTCTGTGAGTATTGAAGAGGCTCAGCTCGGACAAGGCAGTATCGGAGCGGGAATGAGGAACCCGGGATCTGAGGAGAGTGGGCCAGCAGTTTGCTTTAGGGGCTGTGAGATCCTGAAGAATTCAGCTGAGGTTGGGCACACTTCTGAAATGGTTCAGGACATCAGTGCACAATTCCAGTCCCCGAGGGCCAGAATGCAGCGGGTTTTTTAGGTCTGTTCAAACCCTCAGTACACGAGAACCTCTGGAAAGTGGTAAACAGGCCTAATTAAGCAAACAGTCTGCTCAATTGTGCCTTAAGAGTGGAGCCAGAGCAGACCTGTGGCCCTCAGGGACTGTGCATGTGCTCTTTCACAATCACCGCCGATGTTATAGGCCAACAAGTGACCTTTTCAGAATAATGTAAAAGATGTGAGTTAAATGACTTGACTCAGTGCTCCTCTCACTGCTCCAATCTGAAGCAACACGATGCAGCAGAAATCATGGTACTTCCTTATTAATATTCTTTCAGTGCCTCAAAGAGGGATACTGATAACATGAGAAGCCATGAACTTTCTGAAGATCAGAAAATGCTGTTCGAAACTCATCGGTATTCGGAAAAAGAGGATTGCAGAGTCTGCCATTTTCTGATGCAGATTTAATTTTGTATGTCCGCAGAGCTACAGAATAAAACCGCTTCAAGCACTTACAAGACATTATATTATTATTTCAATGCGTGTCCTTGATTTGCAAGCGTAGCACCAATGATCTGTGTCTGGATTCCAGCCCAAGAGTGCGGTGAGGCTGTGCTGGAGGACACTGGGCATGCTGTCTGGCCCCCTGCCACCCAGCAGGCTGGCTGTGCTGTGCTGTGCGACTTCAGGTTCCTTCTCGTGTCCACTGTGCAGGTGAGTAGGGCCTGTTCAGCGCCTTCCTGTCTGGCCCTGGAGGTGGACCCCAGCGCTCCTCAGCATGTCCATATACGCCTTGTTATTTTCACTGATGGGATGAAACACATGGCCCATCAGGGTGTTTAGAATACAATGCAATATAATCTCACTCTTTAGACACATCCTTCAGCCTTACGTCCCCACGCACTTTGTCACCAAGCTTAGAAGTAAACATGGAAAACAGTTCCCAGGACAGTTGGCACATTGACTCTGAACCCTTGAACCCACTTAAGCATTAGGGTTTTGAGCTCATAATTATACAATTGCCCATATTTGTAAAGGGCCTTTTATCCCACAAGATCTCAGAATGCTTCACATATAGGAGGGGAACCACTTCCTCTACCACTGAGGTGCGGCCACACTACACAGCACGTCAAGTGTAGAGGTGATACATCACTTCATCAGCTGATTTAAGGGGAAAATTTAGAAAGACCGCATTGGGCAAGCCCGAGTGTCAATTCTGATAAGACTCAGGGGTTAACCCCGTACTTAACACGGCCAAGTAATCAGCACCTCCATGTAATATCTCATCCATATTTTGGACCAAAGGAGAGCACACCCTACTGCTCCACGGGTGCCATTTACAGCAACCTGGTGTTTCTTACCACCAAAACCCACTGGTGGGCTGCATGACTGGTAGAAACCCAGTCACATTGGTTCTCAGCAGTGGCCGCACACTCGCTTCATTTTGGAAAGCAAAATAGGGAAAAAAGCTGTCAGGGTGCTGTCAGGAGTTTCCTGTGAATAGAAAGCCTCACTCTAGACTTCCTCTGGGGTTATGGGAAATAAGCTTGTTGGACATCCTAGGATGACATTAGAAACATACAGCAAAGACAAGTGTGTCCCTGTGCTCCTAGCCAACATCTTATACTTAACCCTGATGAAGGACTTGTTTTGATTTGTATCCAACACGGTAACAAAAGACAGGTCTGAAATGTCCAGGTATCCTTTATTAAAACGGATTGTGTCTGTACTCTTCGTCTTCAACTGCATCGTATCCCAGCAATGCTGAGGGCCAGAGCTCCTCCAGACCAGGTGGATTAATGAGGAAGGGGCCTGCTGCTCTCATGGAAATGGGCAAATGGGAAATGGAAATGGGAAAATTTATTCGCCAGCATGTCTGTGAGAGCTGGGAGGGAAACCAGAGCCCAGAACCCTGGAGCTCTGAGGCTGTGGCACTGATCACCAAACCCCCCTTAGACTGAGTCCGGAAGGAGAACCCAGTGCTCATGGACTTACATGGCAACAGACGGATCGAACATCAGCGAGCCCATGTCCATGTAATATTGAGCATTAGTCCGCAGCGTTGTCCAGTATTCATTCACCTGCAATGCAAAACAGGAACATATAGGCGACATTTTCAAATGCCAGAGGACAAGTATTTTTAGGTTAGGGTTGGAGAATGATCATCATCCTGAAGGTTAATTCATTATCAATAATGCCACCCATGTCTATGTCCCAGAACTGTATACATTTGTCTTTATCCAGTACAGGATCGTGGGGAAGCTGGAGACTATCCCGGAAAGTAACAGGCACAAGGTAGGATAAACCTGGACTGGACAGGATACCAGTCCATCGCAGGGCAGACACACACTCACACCAGCGCCAAGTTTCCCAGAAGCCAATAAGCCTACCAGTACGGCTTTAGACTGTGGGCGCATTTTAAACATACAAACAAAACACAGCTGACTTTTTTTCAGTTTCTTAATGTTTTTGACAATCAAGAGAGCTAAGAACAGGTGCAAAATAATTTCCGTTTCTCCTGTATGTCTCAGAAGTGACAAATTAGTCTTCATGTCAGCATGGGGAACATGCGACAGCCACAGTCAGTTCAGATGGGAGGAAAGGGCAGAGCAGAACACAGAGTGTCTCTGAAGGCTGGACCGGGGCTCTGGGACAGTTCGGAGGTAGGCTGGGGTGCAGTATTCTGAGAGTTTGAGATATTTGGCAATACCTGCATCACTCCTGCCTGCAGGACAGGATTTAATCTGAAGTGTGTGGGAACTGCAGCACATACTGTATCGATCATCAATCATTCTTTAAACAACGCACAGAGCCGAAGCAGCATGTTCATTCCAATATGAGAAAATATCTAGCATATTGCTGCATAAGTTTCTGCAAGGCTCTTTTCTTTTGCCTGATTGCACCTTGTATATGCGGATAACAATTAAATAGCTAGTTAAAGGAAGTGTTTTCTTTTGTGCTGTACCTGTTCCCTGACTGTGTATCCCCATTGATTCTGTGAGTGATTGGGGTCCCAGTACCCATCGTGTGAATACTGCGCTTGTCTTTTGAGCCGGATGAATTGATTAGCATCTTCCTCTTTCATGAACGGAGCACCTGAGACGCCTGTTTTTCCAAAAGACAAAAAAAACCCAGCAATTGAATGCACTGAAAACACGTTTGTTTTTATTGAGAACATTTTTGGCAATCGGAAAATGGAGAAATATTTAAACATGCTTCCACCATTGAAGCTGGTCTTTTGTTGTGATACATGCAGGTGAATTGATTCATTTGGTAAAGTCGTCAAGGTGAAGTTCATTTATTTTAAATGTGTTCCAGAACATGTTGTATTAAAATGATTTATAGAACTGTCATAGCGAGATAGTTTCATTTACACAACAGAATCCTGAAATTTAAATACAGACATACTATTTAACATTAGATTTTGATACATTGCTGGAACATAGCTGTCTTGCTCAGAATTCCCAAACTTTCATAATACAAAACTTCGAGTCATGAAAGATGAAAGGTCTTACCACTCAGAAGGACTGCTGCCAGCAAAACCTGACTCCTCATTACAGACATGGCCCTGAGAGGGAAGAAAGTGCTTGTTCTATTAGTAAAAAAATTCTTCTTAATAAATCTGGCTCTAAAGATGTTGTATGGCGCAGATGGAACACAGTAAAGGTGTGCTCCGAGTCTGACCAGTTTCGGCACTTTGTTCGTTTTTTTAAACTCTGTCCCATATCTCATGTCTCCTGCCCTTTGGACAGCGAGACGTCAGCGTACAGCTCTGTGTTGGAAGTTCCAGCCCCTTGAGTGATTACAGTTCATTTCCAACACATCACTCTGAAAGGTCATTCACTGCCATTAAAACCGCTGCCCGGGCTTTGAAGTCACTGTTCTAAAACAGACCGCGCTCCATTAAACACACCTAAATGGAGGAGGGGTGTATTTATAAGCAACACTCAAGACTGAAAAACAGATTTTACCTTTTCGGTACTTTGCCCTACCAATACTCCAGACAAGGTCCATTATGGTTATGGAAAGATTTTAAGATTACAGCCTTTTGTCTATCAAACATGCAGAAAAAAAGAATTGCTTTAAGTTTTAAGAGAACTCGCACAGTGGTTAATGGAGCAGATTTTAACAAGCCATCTTTAAAAGCTTGTCATTTACTGTGTGCTTCCTAAATAACACAGGGATTGCAATACAGCAGAATACCTCAACACTATCTTCGCTTCAGAACATGTTAGTTATAGAAGTGAACATACCGATTTTACGCTTTAAAACCTCATTAATGAAAAAGACATGTTTTATACAAAGCTAAAAACTCTAAAAGTTAAAATAAATGAATAGAGACGCTGTCTGCCAACAGTCCCAGTTCCAAAGCCAGATTCAGTCATGCTGCTCATTTTGTCTTCCCTGCTTCCCTAACGATCAAAACTCCATATTTAAACTCCTGTTTAAAAAGGTTATGCTGGATTTTCCATCATTGTATTTGTACACCAGAACACATCACAAAGTACAATGCGTAAATCAAGAGACAAAACGTCTCAAAACAAATCATTTTCAGGTTACCTTCGGCTGAAGAGGTCTCACTCTCTCGTGTTTCTGCCTGACTGGTAAGGATTCTCTGGAAACCATTCACTTACCTAAACGACACTATCTACTCACGAATCCTAGTAGACTAAGGTTTACTGCAGGATGCAACGTGTGAAACAGAGAGGGCTTTCACCAGCAAAAAAAAACGTTTTCTAACTTTGCTGAGCTTTGCAGGACAAACCATCAGTGTGTGCATTTGCTTTTGTGCCAGCTTACTGGGGAAAAAAAAGCAAGACTGATATATTTACACATTACAGAAAATGTTTTTTAATGGCTCCAGAAACCTACAGTAGTAAGAAAAAGCAGTGTAAAAATCCGTTCATAACCATTGTAACCATGAAAAAGGTCTTACACATTGCATTAGTGTGTTCAGGTCTGGAAAACAAAGGTCTATGCTAAAACAAAAATTACTTAATTTCTTTTCCAGCAAAATTATTTTGATGCTGGAAAGAGAGAACAATATGAAACGTACAATTATACAGTTTTTATTAATTAGCTCAGCACCTGAGCTTTCCTGTTGTATTAACTGAATTAACATTCATTAAGCAGTACTAAGCCTGCTCCCTCACTCCTAGCTGAAAATGCTATGAAAGGGTCTTTCATTTAACTGTGGGCTAGAGGAAAGATTTTTTAAAAGGCCGCTTCAACATCCATGGAGCAAAGGCTACCTCCACAGGAATTTATGTTCCAGGACTTACTTAAGCAAACAAACAGGAAGAAATGCAGGTTGCCAAAGAAAAGTTTTCCACCTACACAAAAAAGTGAAAATGAATACTCGCTAAAGAACAGGACATATTAGGCAATGACCACTGACAGCATCTGTCACTATATCGAGTATAAAGCTAGTTTAGAAAACCAGCTGACAGCACTAGAAAAATCCCTGAACTCCTCTAAATTTTGTCGACACCACATTTGTAATGACGAACTGTCTTGTGCTGTTTGCTGCCCTCTGGTGGCCTAGCCAAGATTATGAAAGGTTCAGATTTGGTGTGAAAGCACTGCATCTTACATCACTGCATGTTGAAGAGGAAAGCAAGAATCTTGCTTTCTAAAGGAACAAGGGCGCAATTATTACCAGACAAAACTACTGAAAACTAAGCTCAGACATAAGGATTAAACTAAATACAAAAGTTAAAACCCATGGAAGCACAAAGTAGTGCAAGATGAAAACTTAAATGCAAAGATTCCAGTGCCCTTTTTTCTGAGGAATCGATTCACACCACAGAGCAGGACAAAAGCAGAAGAGTAAAATGTTACTGGCTTCATACCATGTTTATTTAAATGCACCCACAGACGTTACGGCACATTCTTTTGAAACGAAGTCATACAAACAGGCACAAGCATAGAATATAGGTATAGGTTCTGTTATTTCTGTAAGAAAAACAGTAGGGAAAAACTGTTCCAGCAGGATGTAAGGATGAGGACTGTCATTTAAATGAAAACAGCAGCATTCCAGGTGCAAACTAATGTGGTTGCAATCAATGTCCGATAAAGGTGACTGTAAAAAAGACAGCACAAGTAAAAAAAAAAAAAAATTAAGGCTTAGAGGAGAGGAAGGTACACTGTTTTTTTTTTCTGCTAGTTTGTTCACTTTGGTGTTCTCCTTCGATTGCATATCAAAAAAGGACTGCCCTCGCGGCGCCCTTTGGGGGGAGCCGGGAGATTTCGGGGATCAGACCAGACCCCCCGACCTCACACCAGCGTGGTGAGCTTGTCGATGAGGTCGTCGAGGGTGTAGGTCAGCAGCTTGATGTCCTCCTTCTCCGACATGCGGTGCAGGCCGTGCTTGCGCAGGATGAGGTCCACGTCCGTGCTGAGCACGCGGTCGGCCACCTGCAGGGAGGTGTGCCAGCTCACGTCGGGGTCCTGCATGCCGTGGATGAGCCGCACGGGGCAGGTGACGGGGATGGGGCTCTGCAGCACGCAGTGGTGCTCCGCCTCCCGGATGAGGTCCAGGCTGATGCTGTAGAACCCCTCCTCGTTGTGCTTGGTGGGGAACTTCCACACTCCCTTGTCTTCGATCTCTTTCCTCGCCTAAAAAAAAAACAAAAAAAAAAGCGCCGTGAGGGACTCGACGCGGAGCAGACCCGGGAGCTCGGGTCCGAGCGCGACGCAACGCGCCGTGCAGGAGGCGTGTCGGGCCAGGGCTCCCCCGCCAAGCGGCGCGGGCCGGGCCGGGTTCATTCGGGATCTCCGACTCTCTGCGCCGGCGCCTTCCTCTGCGGGACAT